GCACTGTACTCGTGCTAACAAGGGTCACTTCGTTTAATGCTTACTTGGCACGCTTATCTTTTGCCACTCAGCGAACAATGGACACATAAACATTACTTTGTCTTCAGAAAAATAGAGTCAGTCTGTCAGCTTGTGTGTGCATAATAAGGGCCACTGTGGCATCCAATAATAAAACGATGTTGGTCAGACTCGGTGCCAGTACCTGAATCTGTATAATGGTTTTAGTCAACTCTAGATTTCTACTCTATAACATTTCATAAATTCTAGTGTTTTTGTTTCACAGCTACATTTATCCTTCTCATCTATAGTATGAAGTAGTTCCAATTAGCTGTGCGTAAGCCAGCATCAGTAATAGTGATGCAGTAATAATAGAAACAATGTAACAACACTAAATTCGACCCTACTACTAAGTAAATGATTGTGAATACTTCTCACACGGCTATTCAAATGTAACATCCATGCAGTCCAAACAGTGACTCTTTAACTGAGCGATCCTCACCGAAGCACTGACTCCGTTCTGAGAAAGCTGAATCTCAGGAAAACAATGCAACCAGAAAATCTGCGGCAGTAAAAGGATAATTGAAAGCCACATAAACGAGCTGAACCAGCGTTCCCCCACCTCTCCGCCTGCAGCTGAGCAGAAAACCACACCCGGGTGCCACGCTCTCACTGTGTTGGTGCAGCTGTCGTGTTGTTTGTCGATTCAACATTTCTGAGCGAGTGCCTTCTCCTCCCTGCTGTAGCTCCGACGAGCTGTACGCCTACTTAAAACACTGCCGACCAGACTTGTGTATGCTTGAGGGAGGAAAGGAGGACGGGGAGGGAGACCGTGATGATGAGGAATTCGTACTCATTGAAGACGAGGAGGAGGAGGAAGAGGAGGATGAGGACAAGCTGCTTCAGAGACACTCAGGGGACGATTGGGAAGTGAGTGGATTATTATTGTTTGGGTCTCACAGGATAGCAGACGATGAGAGATGAGGTCAGTCGGACTTTTATGCCGATAATGGAGAATAACGTTTGTAAGTTTGTGACCTGCACTGCAGGTTAAAACATTTGTTTCCTGATGAAGAAAAACTTGTTTTTATTAGAATATTCTAGAAGAAAAACAGCTTTTTTCAAATGTACAAGTGTCTTTTTGCAGATGGTGTTGATGGAGGAGAGTAGAGACAAGCCGCTCTTGGTCGTTGATAGAGACCCCGAAGGACTCAGTAATATTGTTGAGAACAGCCAGATTTTGGAGGCTTCACACGTCAGAGAGGTTGGTGAGACCAAACAAGCGTTTATATGTGAGTTTTAATCATCTGATGATGTAAGAGCATCTAGGTTTAGCTTCAGAATTCAAGGGGACACAAGAAGTTAAAGGTTCTTTAAGACATAAAGAAATTAAAACCGGGCTTATGATAAACAACAGCTTGTCTTTATACAACAGAAATTACTGTCCTTTTTGCCTTTTTGAGACTTTTAAAGTAAATATAAGTATGTATTGATGAAACTAAATATGCATTTGAAAATCATTTTAGCCTCCCAAGTTTTAAAGGGTTTCATCAGATTATAAGATAAATGTAAAGTGGGTTTTTGTTTTCTTACTTTGAAAGAGGAATAGCTAATCTTATTTAAAATGATGTAAGAAAAGAACTGTTTGACCTCATAAGCGACAGTATAATACAGTTAGATTTACTGCTTAGTGTTTTATGGCCAAGTATCTTCAGGAGACTATTTAAAGAAAGCTGAGTTGGCTCACACACTGCTCTTATATAGATGTCCTAGAGTAGTGGCACTCATTCTGTGGTGTTTCTGCTTAATTAAAGGTTGACAAGAAATGTCTTGATGCAAGCTCAATCATGCAGTTAAGGAATTCCCAGAAAGACGTTTCTGTTCATGTGCATAATGACCTGTAGTCAGCAGATGCTGAAGGAGTGACTGGGATGATTCTCACACTGAAAACGCTACATTCACATGAGCAGAATAAAACTTGTGGGGTTGACACGGAAGAGATACCATTACTTTTTCAATGCCTGTTATTATTATTATTATTACAGGTAGTTCATTAGTCAGAAATGAATAAATGCCAGTTTCCTAACATTTTCTAGAAAACACACACAGATGGTATCTCCAGTATTTAATTGCTATGTCACCCTTTCTAATGTTCATTTCATTTATTTTACTTCCCGCCTTTCATCTGTTTCCAGCTGTGTAAGGAGCTTCCTCCCAGGACTGTTGGCTACACATGGCAGCTGGCTTACAGCACGTCGCGTCATGGCGCCAGCCTCAAGTCTCTTTATAGAAAACTCAGCGGCACGGACTCGCCTGTTATTATTGTCATCAAGGATGCGCTTGATGAGGTAAAAATGTACTGTCAGCTCTAGAGCCAGACCAGTCTAGGATTTCCATGACCAATATTTGGTGATTTTAAAATCTGATAAATCAGTAGACTATCAGCCGATTTCCCTAATGTTTGTTATGTGTAGTATTTATAAGTACTTGTTAAGATAATATGATTGTGCTTGCTTTATTGCCACAAGTCATAGATTACTGCTGAGAGCTTCCCATGAAGCACTGTTTCTTCTTCACTCACCTTTTCACTCACTATGTGTTTATACACCTCTCTGTATTTAATCTTTAGTTATTATTAATCGCTTGCTCTCTTCCACAGTCCTGTCTTCCTTCTTTCACCCCCAACCAGTCATGGCAGATGGCCCCGCCCCTCCCTGAGCCTAGTTCTGCCGAAGGTTTCTTCCTGTTAAAAGGGAGTTTTTCCTTCCTGCTGTCACCAAGTGCTTGCTAATGGGGGATATTTGATTGTCGGGCTTGGCTCTGTATTATTGTACTGTCTTTACCTTACAATATAAAAGGCCTTGAGGTGACTGTTGAATTGAATTACTTTTTCACGCTCTGCCGAACTCTCAGATCAGCTGGTTATTCTGGTTGTCGTGTTTGTGGTGTTCCAAACACACATTTACAGTACGGAGGTTGCAGGATGCCCAACTCTGAAACATTAACGCGTATAATATGGTTGAACGGTGTTTCTCCCTTCTCGTCTTTACTCGTCTTTTAATTTATCATTCATCAGCTGCTATAAATGAATATGTATGTATTGTTGTACGGTCTTCCGTGTTGCTGTGATTTGGCACTGTTTAAATAAAATTGAATTTAAAATACCAATATATCTGCAAATATTGGCCGATACTAGCGATTTACCAACATATCGATTGGTAAAAATGAACTATTCTGTCTCAAATAAACAATATATATCTTTAGTCTTTAGTTTTTTAATTTTCTCTTATGACTTTTCCTAATCAGATATTTGGGGCCTTCCTCTCTCACCCTTTGAGGCCTAGTGAGATGTTTTATGGTACAGGAGAAACGTTTCTCTTCATGTTGCATCCTCGCTTCAAGGTAATCCAGATTTTTTTTCCTTTAGTGTAGAAAATATATTCTAAACCGTTTAAAATGCAAAATAACAGGATGGTATGACTGAAGGTATGGATGTGAGTTGTGATGAATGATGCTTCCTGGGAAAATGAATTGATGGAGGTAAAACAGAGACACTCCGTATGTTATAAATGTGAGATGATTATCTGATGTCTCTCTGCAGTGTTTCAAGTGGACTGGAGAGAATTCCTTTTTTATTAAGGGAGACTTGGATTGCTTTGCTATTGGTGGAGGCAGGTAATTAAGTAGCTTTCTCGACTTCCACTCTTCCATAATTTATACTTCTGTGGCTTACAAAAAATAATATTGCTCCAATTTTCAAACCAAGCCAAGAAGGGTCGGTTTCCTTTCGCTAACCACCGTCTCCCTCTTTTTCCACAGTGGTCACTTCGGTCTGTGGGTGGATGAGAACCTATACCTGGGCCGTAGCAGTCCCTGCTACACTTTTAATAACTGCTGCCTTTCAGAAACCGATGACTTCCGAGTCATGGAGCTAGAAGTGTGGAAATTCAGCTGAGGAGATTGGACGACGTTTCAGCTTGTTTCACGTCGTCGCTGCTGATCGGCTTTAATCGAGACAGAATTATCACTGAGCGGAAACATGCAGCAGCTCCTTCATTTCATGGTAACATCCATAAACGAAAACAATCAACCTTAAACTTCTGGATTAATCCATGTGATTAAGTGCTGTGGATTTTAACAAAGTGAACTGAAATAAAGCTGATCCGTAACAGCCTACTGTCAGAGTGGGCTCTGAGGGTGGACTGCTTAGTGGCTGACTCATTCCTGTGGGTTTGGCAGACAAACTAAGTTGTGCTACAGTGAACTGTAGAGCTGAACTGGATTCTTTGAATCCTAATTTTTGGATGGACTACGTTACAAATGGAGTGAGTTACAAATCTCAGACTGCACTTTGCTGTTAATATGAATCGGTAACATCACAATATCCCATTATTTATTGTGTAAACGTCTCCCTTCATAGTTAAAGCATGTCCCCACTTCAATGCTTTCTGAACTGCATGTGTACAGCCCAGACTCTCGCAAACACTTCCCTTCCTTAACCACTAATCGTCACTTTAATGGCTTTTCGTTCATCGGTGACGCAGACGGCTAAAATGAACGCCGAACACTTGGAGCTCCGCTTTTAGAAAGCCTTCTGAATAGAAGATCATCTGTACTTCTGACTTTAACACCCTCATTTGTCACTATTCACCACTGTGGTTTCTGAACGTGCAAAAATCAATACTTCAGATTCATGTAATTATGTCATTCGGCTGTATCTTACTCTGATAGACCAATCTACTCTAACTACACTCTACAGTACTGTAGATGCGTTAATAAAAATCAGCACAATGTGAATTTAAACGTGTGTGTGTGTGTGTGTGTGAGAAAAAGAAAACTCAATTCTTTTTGTTTAAAAAAAAAATGTTTTTGTTATACAAGTGAAAATCAAACGGCACTGCTAGTTACAGAAGAATATTGGGGGAGTTTTCTCTCTAAAGGCTCCAAGCAGCAAGATATTTCACATGGGTGTGTGTGTGTGAGATCATTGGGCTCTTCTGTTCTGAAATTAGGACTTGAAGATGCCAACTGTTCTGTTTATACGATGGGAAGAGAGACAGAGAAATTATTTGCTCCTCACTAAAGAAACAATCCAACTGTTTTTCACCCTGATTTACACAGATATGAGCCATAATAGGAAAGCAGCCTAACAAATTCATCTGCTTACACAGTAAAAGAGAAGTTCTTTGGTGTGGTCATATCGTTCTGTGAATAGATTGTAACATTTGGTTTTAAACACAAGCTATATGGGAAAAACGTCTGATTCATTCATTTTACGTTCTCCAGTCCAGTTTCTAAGTTCCTCTTCATGCCTTTGTCCCGAGTCAGAGAAGGGTGTTTCCCTCCAGCAGCCTCAACAAGAACATCAGGCGTTACCCAGCTCGGGGAGAGCTTTCAGGCAAAGCCTTCACTAACTGCAGAAACACAGCTGGAGGAAACAACAACAGCAGCTCCGTCTCTGGGTACACTCAGCAGAGAAGCTCAGTCAATAAATACTGCACATGCAACACCACCACATAAAAGAAGAAATACTGAATACAATACTGGATGTAATGCACTAAAGAATGGTACTGACACTAATCTGGGACTTGGTAGGCCTCCATCTATATCTTATAGCTAAGTTATTCAGCAGCTACAAGGATAAAGAGCAAGTCTAAATGTGTGACATACTGTATTTGTTCCTGCTCAGCGTGGAAGGCCTTTGGATTTCTACTTGTCACAATACAAATACTATATAAAACTTTTTTTTTTTTTTTAACCAAGAGAGTCGTCCAAATAAATAGTAGCAAAGAGTACAGAAGGCAAAAATGTTTCCAGCTGCCAACACACACAGAAGAGGAACGCCACCAGATGCTTGGTAGGTTTTCCTAATCTTGGATCATTTGCCCAGTCTGGTTAAGCTCAAACACATTACTGTGCCAGGTACTCCTTGGCTTTCTCCAAGCCCTCTTTCAGAAAGCTGATATAAGTGGATGTGGAGGGATCTTCGAAGCCGCCAGAGAAGCTGAAAGTTGCTTCTTCCTCCTCGGGTTTCATGGCAGTTTGATCTAAGAAGAAGTTGGCATTGATGTGATGAACCTGAAACCACATAAAAGAGGATAAAAGGCTTTAGCGGCTTCTTTCTTCTTCGCATCTATACTTGGTCAAGTCAGGGTTAATATGGCATTTTCAAAATAAGACTTTCTGCAATAGCTGCTAATAAAACTGTAAATAACTTTCTATGTAGTACATTTTTGGCAGAGTCTTCCATATCTCTGCCAGTTTTATTATGCTCGGCTAGTGTGTGTGGGCACTTACAGGGATATGATGCATCCACATAAGCTAATGTTACCGTATTTCATTTTTATTATTTCATTGCCATCAGCCTCACAGTTGACTGTGTCGTTTCACTGCTAATGCAACATGGAGAATGCAGATAGCCAACATTTATTATCCTAATATTCCCAATAGTGTGCTTTTGCCTATGATTTAATTCTATGAAAAATAATATTTACAATGGTTCCATTGGGCAGAGCCACCATCATCTCCACAGGAAAACTGTACTTTTCAAGGTGTAAGCGAGCCTTTTCACTCAACGCAGGGTTTTGCTCATCAGCCTGGGAAAACAGGAAGCAGGATATTTATTAAGTGGAAACACAGCTGTACTTAAAGTAAGAAGATAAGCACATTTTTCAGTAATTGAACAACGTTCTGGATTTTTCACCACTATAGCTGCTTACCTGCAGGTTCTCCAGCTCTTTGACCAGAGACCAGCTGCTTATAAAGCTCTGGTTGAGGAGGGCGAGGACGGGCGAACTTTCCAGGACTGTCTCCCGGAGAGTTCGCCCCGAACCTATAAAAGTGTGGGGAGGAGACAAGGATACGGTGAACATATTAGGAACAAGGTAGAACTCCAAATAGGTGTAATGGTTGGCAGACTGAATGAATTATAATTAACCAGCACAGGTATTAATAATGACATGAGTAACTGTCACAGATCCTTAATTAACATAATTAGTACATCATTAGTAACACCTGTATTTACCTGCCATTTCAGAAAAATGGGCTTAAGTGCACTTTACAGTAATATTTAATTGGTAATGGTATGCCTTTAGAAAGCTAGCAGCTTAAATTTAATGACTGTGATGCACTTTTGAAGCATGACATTATCTCACCTCAGCATGACTGGTCATCTAAAGCTCCCCACAGCAGAATAGAGTGCACCAGCTTTTTCTCTGCTTGGGCTCGATCGAAAGCCTCTGAAAAAGGCAGGTAGGACACCTGGGAAGGAGCACAGTGTTACACCGACACTGTGTGCAATAACACAATCACCAACTTATTCGAACGTAGAGAATTACCTTCTTAAAGGGATAGAAGGTGACCTCCATGCGGCGAGCAGCTTCCTCCTGACTGATCTCAGAGGTCCAGTGGATTTCCTCAAAGACAAACTGGATGGGCTCATTGCTGCTGTCACGCCGATCAATAATATTACCCTGCTCGTCAGTGATGACGGAGGGAGTGGACGGGCCCGCCGACTGGAGCTCTAACTGCAAACGCAAGTTCTCGTTAGACATAGTACACACGCTTTACATCAGACACTCTTGTGTGTCTTTTCTGAGGATCATCTTTTACATTCTGTGAAATTCCACACGTTCATAAGTATTTAATCCATATGTATTTTAAATTAAAGTCAAAACAGGCAGTTACCGTGACATTAATACTGTTTGATTGACTGGAAATCAAATAGATGTGACTTAACTTAAAGACTAAGTTAGGACAGTCAGCCAGAAACAATACTGATGCAGCTACACAGTGATGAGAACAGTTAGTGTTGAGATAAACAGCCATACCTGTGGCAGGTAACCAATGTCCACCTCCATATTGCTGCTCTCACTGGCTCCGTAGAGCCACTCCATGTCTACATTCAGAGACCTGTAACACAGCACAGGTGGCACCCAAACTTCACAACGATCCATCGATAGGGGAGTATATGAACACGTGTGAGAGGGATTTACCTGTTACTGGGGACATAAAGGTGGAAGAGGCGGACGTGAGAGGCGTCTTTAGAAAGGACAATATTGCCAGTGAACTGGCCTGGTGTGAACCAGAAGGGAAAATCTGGAATATCATTGAGCTGGAATTCTGCATGAATCCTGCAGGGGGTGAACAGAAGGAGTAAAAATTGAGAGCACGTAAGTCTCTGTCAGAAATCCCTACAAGAACTAACCAGGGAGTCGGGTCATAACATTTGCACGGTGTTTTGATTTTCGACCTTCACAAAGCTGTCAGAGGCTTTATTTTACTACAGCAGCATCACAAAGACTTCAAACCACAGGTGTCAAACTCAAGAATTAACTGAATCCTACCCACATATCACTTTGGGTTTTCAGGACATTTTGGCCAGCCCATTTCTGGGAATGGTCCCCATAGCAACATGCATCTCACGCACACAGCAAGTTAAACAAAAGGGTGCCCTTCCACTGCACCTGCAAGCTACTAAGCTCAGAGTAACAGAAAAGGCCAGTTGATGCTGGAGGCAGACAATTTTGCGAGAGGCGGGAGACTGATTTTTTATTTACCAAGTGTAAGGAATGGTCTGTACAACCATCTGCAATGAGATAAAGGCTACTGTCAAAGAATTTTAACTACTATAACTACTAA